GCAGAGCCAGACTTCTCCTTTCTTCCCTGGAACATGGCCAAGCCCTGTCTAAGTCTTTGCAGATATTACATCTTCCCTCCTAGTCTTTTCTAATATGGCTCTCGATGGGCAGCCACTATTTTCCTGCAAGTCTTGGGCAGCATATGGGATCCAGCATCCTACAAAAATCTAATAGCTAGTTCTAAAGTGCCGGCAGAGCCAGACTTCTCCTTTCTTCCCTGGAACATGGCCAAGCCCTGTCTAAGTCTTTGCAGATATCACATCTTTCCTCCTTCGAGTCTTTTCTAATATGGCTCTTGATGGGCAACCACTATTTCCTTGCAAGTTTTGGGCAGGATATGGGATCCGGCATCCTACAAAAATCTAATAGCTAGTTATAAAGTGCCGGAAGAGTCAGCCTTTTCCTCCTTTCTTCCCTGGAACATGGCCAAGCCCTAAGTCTTTGCAGATATTACATCTTCCCTCCTTCAAGTGTTTTCTAATATGGCTCTCGATGGGCAGCCACTATTTTCCTGCAAGTCTTGGGCAGGATATGGGATCCAGCATCCTACAAAAATCTAATAGCTAGTTCTAAAGTGCCGGCAGAGCCAGACTTCTCCTTTCTTCCCTGGAACATGGCCAAGCCCTGTCTAAGTCTTTGCAGATATCACATCTTTCCTCCTTCGAGTCTTTTCTAATATGGCTCTTGATGGGCAACCACTATTTCCTTGCAAGTTTTGGGCAGGATATGGGATCCGGCATCCTACAAAAATCTAATAGCTAGTTCTAAAGTGCCGGCAGAGCCAGACTTCTCCTTTCTTCCCTGGAACATGGCCAAGCCCTGTCTAAGTCTTTGCAGATATTACATCTTCCCTCCTAGTCTTTTCTAATATGGCTCTCGATGGGCAGCCACTATTTTCCTTGCAAGTCTTGGGCAGCATATGGGATCCGGCATCCTACAAAAATCTAATAGCTAGTTCTAAAGTGTTTAGAAGGGAATGATTGTTCAGATATGGCAGACATTCACTGCTTTTGTAAATAACCTGATAACCTGTGATCAGAAATCTACAGACACGGAGAACCTTGAGAACTCTAGCTGGAAGTCAGCTGTGACCAGCAGTAATGGAGGGTGATAGGGAGAAACGTGTCAAGAGGAAGGCACGTCAAGCCAACCCTGACCAGAACCACCCTTCACCTGGAGTTCCAAACCCTTGCAGATATTACATCTTTCCCCCTTCAAGTCTTTTCTAATATGGCTCTCGATGAGCAGCCACTATTTTCTTGCAAGTCTTGGGCAGGATATGGGATCCGGCATCCCACAAAAATCTAATAGCTAGTTCTAATGCGTTTAGAAGGGAACAATTGTTCAGATAAGGCAGCCATTCATAATAAAATAATAAACTTGAGAACTCTACTATGTAAATATAGTAAATAATAAAAATAAATAATAACCTTGAGAACTCTAGCTGGAGGTCAGCTGTGACCAGCAGTGCTGTGCAATTTGAAGCGGCACGAATGGAGGGCAAAAGGGAGAAACATGCCAAGAAGAAGGTGTGTCAAGCCAACCCCGACCAGGATCGCCTCCCACATGTGTAGGAGTTGTAGTTACAGCGATGTATAGTTCACCTGGTATTTAAGAGCAATCTGAACTCCACCAAAGATGGATTTGGAACTAAACTGGCACACAGAATCCCCCATGACCAAGAAAACATACTGGAAGTCTTTGGACAAATCCTGATATGTGGGATGTATTTTCATTCACTGGACCAAATTTGGAACAAATACCCAATACACGCACATTTGAAGATTCTTGGGGATTTTTTTTGGGGGGGGGGGTTGATTTTGCCATTTGGAAGTTGTAGTTGCTGGGCTTTATAGTTCACCTACAATCAAAGAGCATCTTGTACTCCACCAACAATGCAATTGAAACAAACTTGGCACACAGAACTCCCATCACCAACAGAAAATACTGGAAGGGTTTGGTGGGTATTGACCTTGATTTGGGGGAGTTGTAGTTCACCTACATTCAGAGAGCATTGTGGACTCAAACAATGATGGATCTGGACCAAACTAGGCATGAATACTCAATATGCCCAAATATGAACACTGGTGGAGTTTGGGGAAAATAGACCTTGACATTTGGGAGTTGTAGTTGCTGGGATTTATAGTTCACCTACAATCAAAGAGCATTCTGGACTCCACCAATGATGGAACTGAACCAAACTTTGGGGAAAAAGAACTCCCATGACCAACAGAAAATACTGGAAGGGTTTGGTGGGCATTGACCTTGAGTTTGGGAGTTGTAGTTCACCTACATCTAGAGAACACTGCGGACTCCAACAATGATAGATGTGGATCAAACTTGGCACGGATACTCAATATGCCCAAATGTGAACACTGGTGGAGTTTGGGGAAAATAGACATTGATGAGTTCTAGGAGTTGTAGTTACTGGGATTTATAGTTCTCCTACAACCAATGAGCATCAGAACCCCACCAACGATGGAGTCCCTCTACGGAGGTTGAGAAGATCGGGATATAAACGTTTTCAATAAATAAATAGGGCCAAACTTCCCACACAGAACCCCCATGCTTTGAAGGGACTCGCTGGTGTTAGCCTCCCTCCAGCTTCGCACGCTCTCCCTTCCCGCATTGACATGTGCTGAGCACGCCTGCTCTCCTCTTCCTCCTTGGAGTCTCAGAAGCAGCCCTCCCCTTGGCTGAGAAGCCTGCCAATCACAGTAGAGGAGGGCTTTTGGTGGGAGGATTCACCATCTGCCATGCACCGAGCATGCCTGCTCTCCCCTCTTTGCTTGGTCTCAGAAACAGCCCTCCCCTTGGCTGAGAGGCCTGCCAATCACAGTGGAGGAGGGCTTTTGGTGGGAGGATTCACCATCTGCCATGCACCGAGCACACCTGCTCTCCCCTCTTTGCTTGGAGTCTCAGAAGCAGCCCTCCCCTTGGCTGAGAAGCCTGCCAATCACAGTGGAGGAGGGCTTTTGGTGGGAGGATTCACCATCTGCCATGCACCGAGCACGCCTGCTCTCCCCTCTTTGCTTGGTCTCAGAAACAGCCCTCCCCTTGACCGTTTGGCTGGCCAATCACAGTGGAGGAGGGCTTTTGGTGGGAGGATTCACCATCTGCCATGCACCGAGCACGCCTGCTCTCCCCTCTTCGCTTGGAGTCTCAGAAACAGCCCTCCCCTTGTCTGAGAGGCCTGCCAATCACAATAGAGGAGGCTTTTGGTAGGAGGATTCACCATCTGCCATGCACCGAGCATGCCTGCTCTCAACTCTTTGCTTGGTCTCAGAAACAGCCCTCTCCTTGACCGTTTGGCTGGCCAATCACAGTGGAGGAGGGCTTTTGGTGGGAGGATTCACCATCTGCCATGCACCGAGCATGCCTGCTCTCCCCTCTTCGCTTGGAGTCTCAGAAACAGCCCTCTCCTTGACCGTTTGGCTGGCCAATCACAGTGGAGGAGGGCTTTTGGTGGGAGGATTCACCATCTGCCATGCACCGAGCATGCCTGCTCTCCCCTCTTCGCTTGGAGTCTCAGAAGCAGCCCTCCCCTTGGCTGAGAAGCCTGCCAATCACAGTGGAGGAGGGCTTTTGGTGGGAGGATTCACCATCTGCCATGCACCGAGCATGCCTGCTCTCCCCTCTTTGCTTGGTCTCAGAAACAGCCCTCCCCTTGGCTGAGAGGCCTGCCAATCACAGCAGGAGGAGGGCTTTTGGTGGGAGGATTCACCATCTACCATGCACCAAGCATGCCTGCTCTCCCCTCTTTGCTTGGAGTCTCAGAAACAGCCCTCCCCTTGTCTGAGAGGCCTGCCAATCACAGTGGAGGAGGGCTTTTGGTGGGAGGATTCACCATCTGCCATGCACCGAGCATGCCTGCTCTCCCCTCTTTGCTTGGTCTCAGAAACAGCCCTCCCCTTGGCTGAGAGGCCTGCCAATCACAGCAGGAGGAGGGCTTTTGGTGGGAGGATTCACCATCTACCATGCACCAAGCATGCCTGCTCTCCCCTCTTTGCTTGGTCTCAGAAACAGCCCTCCCCTTGGCTGAGAGGCCTGCCAATCACAGTGGAGGAGGGCTTTTGGTGGGAGGATTCACCATCTGCCATGCACCGAGCATGCCTGCTCTCCCCTCTTTGCTTGGAGTCTCAGAAGCAGCCCTCCCCTTGGCTGAGAGGCCTGCCAATCACAGTGGAGGAGGGCTTTTGGTGGGAGGATTCACCATCTGCCATGCACCGAGCATGCCTGCTCTCCCTGCTTGGAGTCTCAGAAACAGCCCTCCCCTTGGCTGAGAGGCCAGCCAATCACAGCGGAGGAGGGCTTTTGGTGGGAGGATTCACCGTCGTTTTCCAAAAAGGAAGAGAAGGACAGGCAGAGAGATCTTCAGTCTTCTTTGCCAAAGGGGTTCCTCAAGCATGCAAAATATTTTCCAATGGTCTTTGGCAACCCCTCTGAAACCCCCCTCGCGACCCCCAGGCCGAGAAACACTGGATTTATTTATATATTTATTTATTTATTTATTTCACAGTTTTCTATACCGAGCTTCTCAACCTCATTGAGGGACTCAGCCCGGTTTCCAGCCATAAAAAACATATACACTCATTAAAATATCATATATCACAATTACAAAAACAACTTTAAAAACACTATATATAAGACTACAGTGGTCAGTCGTCCTATTAAGATGGATCTACATCAACTTCCATCCAGGGTCCTATGGTGTTTTCTGGATCTGGTAAACGGTACTACATAAGACATGTGCTGAGCACGCCTGCTCTCCCCTCCCCGCTTGAAATCTCAGAAACAACCCAACTCCTAAAGGGACGAAACCTCTTGTTTTTTGTCGATATTGTTGTATTCTTGTTCGTAATATCATTATATTATGTTTATTTAAGAAGACGGCGTGAAAAATTATTTTTTCCCCCACCTCAGATACAAAACTTTGCAAACACAACGCCTAACACAGTGAAACCAACAAGACTGGTCTTACTCTGCCGCTCTCACCTACCTGCGTGGAAGTAGGGGCTCATGGTGTACGGGAACCCAAAGGGCAGCGGTTGAGGTGGCGGCAGTGGCGCCGGCGGGAGGTATTTGCCCTCCGTTTTGTTGATGACGGGACCCAGGAGATGGCTGGGTGACTCGGCACTGGAGGAGCTCCCCGGCGCATTCTGGCCGGCAGAGAGTTCGCTCAGTTCTTTGGTGCCGTCGCAGGATTTGGCCACATCTTTGCACTCTTTGAGCTCGCTGGCTGAGACACTACTCTCAGCCTTCAGGCCGTCCGGTTTCTCCTCGTTCGCGTCCGCGTCGCTCTCTGAGTCCTTCATCTCTTCGTCGTTGCCGTCGGGCGGGCGGTTTTCGCACAGCTCTTTGGATTCGCCCTGTCCCGGGGTCTCGGCACGGTGGTGCGCGGACTTCCGGCTCGCCCTCCGGCTCCCCTGCTCCTTCGGCGGGGTGGTGGGCGCGCTAGGCACCCCGTGGTGGTTGAGCGACAACAGCGGAGCGTTGTTGTGCCGGAGCACCAGCATGGCGTTCCTGCGGGAGAGCTCGTCCCTGAGCGGGTGCCCCTCGGGGATGTCGTGGACGTTGCGCAAAGCCGGGTGGTCCGGCGGCAGGCTCGGGTGCAAGCTCATGGGGTCGCCGGCCAGTAGCCGTTGCCGATGGAGGTTTTCCAGTTCCTTCTGGCGAATGATCTCCGCTGACATCTCGAGCCTGAATAATGAGAAAGTCGCACTTGGAAAAGGCGCCGAGAGATGTGAAGTCAAGGCGCAACTTGAGGCATTTTGCTTTTTCCTGACCACCCTGCTCTCTTCCCTTTCACCTCACAGGGCTGTTGTGTAGCATATGTAAACACCGTGAGTTCTGGGAAGCAGTTATGCCAGGCATAGGCAAACTTACTTGGGGGGCCACATGCATGCTGGAGGGGTGGGTGGGGGGGGGGGGGGGGGGTTCTCCCCAAGTTCCCCTCCCCTCCTTTCCTTCCCCTTCCTCTTCTCTTTTGGAAAGAGGAAACATTTGATCCCAAAAGGGTTGGCCTTGGTCAGGATAGGAGAGAAAAGGTGTCTCCATTAAACCCTGTATTGCCTACTCCTGACATAGAATCCTAGAATTGGAAGAGATCCCCAAGGGCCATCCAGTCCAGCCCCCTGCCATGCAAGGAGGTACAATCAAAGCACTTCCGATAGATAGCCTCTGTGGAAAAGCCTCCAGAGAAAGATACTCCACCACATCCCCCAGGAGGAAAGGAGGAAGGAAAAAGGGAAGGAAGGGAATGGAGAAAGAGTGGAAAAAAGAAGGAAGGAAAGACAAAAATGGAAGGAAGGATAGAGAAAAAGAGGGAAGGAGGGATTAAAGGAAAAGAATGAAAGGGTGGAAAAGGAAAGAAGGAGAGAGGGAAGAGAGGGAGGGAAGGAGGAGGAAAAGAGAAGGAAGGAAACAGAGAAGGAAGGAAGGAGAAAGAGAGATTGAGAAAAAGGGATGGATGGAAGGAAGGAAAAAGGAGAAGAGGGAAGGAGGAAGAAATAAAGAAAGAAGGGAGAAAGAGAGGGAGGAGAAGGAAAAGAAGAGAAGGAAGAAGGAAAGACAAAAGGGGGGGAGGAAGAGAGGAAAAAGAAGGAAGGAGAAGAAAGGAGAAAGAAGAGGGAAGGAAGGAAGGAAGGAAAGAGGGGGGAGGGAGGGAAGGAGGAAGGAAAGACAAAAGAAGGAAGGAAAAAAAGGAAGGAAGGAAAAGGAAGGAAGGGAAGGAAGGAGAAAGAAAGAGGGAAGGAGGGAGGAAAAGGGAAGGAAAGAAGGAAAGGGGGAGGGAGGGAAGGAGGAAAAAGGAAGAAGGAAGAAAGAAAGGAAGGAGAAAGAGAAGAGGGAAGGAGGAAGGAAAGAGAATGGAGAAAGACAAAGGAGGGAAAAGAAAGAGAGAGGGAGAGAGGAAGAGGGAAGGAAGGAAAAAGGATGGAGGGGAAGGAGGGAGGAAGAGGAAGGAAGTACAAAAGGGTGGGAGGGAGGAGAGATAACGGAAGGGAGGGAGGAAGGAGAAAGAGAGAGGGAAGGAGGGAGGAAAGAGGGAAGGAAAGAGCAAAAGGGTGAGAGGGAGGGAAGGAGGAAGAAAAAAGAAGAAAGGAAAGACAACAAGGTAGGAAGGAAGGAAGGAAGGAAGGAAGAAAAGAGAAAGAGAGAGGGAAAGAGGGAGGGAGGAAAGAGAGAAGGAAGGAGGGACAAAAGGGTGGAAGGGAAGGAGGAAGGAAAGCAGGGACAGACACCTCAATCTATGCTAAGAGTCGTGCCATCACCGCTCAAGTAGAGATCAGACACCCCAACCTATGCTGACGATCGTGCCATCACCGCTCAAGTAGAGATCAGACACCCCAACCTATGCTGACGATCGTGCCATCACCGCCCAAGCAGGGATCAGACACTCCAACCTATGCTGATGATTGTGCCATCACCGCTCAAGCAGGGATCAGACACCCCAACCTATGCTGACGATTGTGCCATCACCACCCAAGCAGGGATCAGACACCCCAACCTATGCTGACGATCGTGCCACCACCACTCAAGCAGGGATCAGACACCCCAACCTATGCTGACGATCGTGCCATCACCACCCAAGCAGGGATCAGACACTCCAACCTATGCTGATGATTGTGCCATCACCGCTCAAGCAGGGACCAGACACCCAACCTATGCTGCCAGAACCCACAGCAACTCCTGACTTGGTTTTGAAAACTTCCTTTTCTAAAAGGAATTAGCCTGAGTCCTCTTTCCTATCCCGCAACTGGCCATTTCCTCCTCTTCCTGCTTCCATTTAGGGAGGGGGCCAAGCCGGCGCCTGGTGCGGGAGATGGCTAGAGGGAAAAGCCAGCCAAACCACAACGCTTCCCCAAACGCCCACCTCCCAGGCAGCCTTCCCAATTTTCCCATTATCGTCATTCTGTTCCAACGGCCTTCCCCCCCCCCCCCCCCCCCCCCCCGCTCGAGGAGAGAGGCGCCGTCCGAGAGAGAGCCGGAGAGAGCCGTTGGAACAGAATGACGATAATGTGTCTGGCACAGCCTCCGGCTCTTTGGCTCAATGAAGCATGCCAGCTAATCTCTCCTCCTCAACGGAGATATGAGCGAAGGGACAAAGTCAGAGCCAAGCGCCGGCTGTCTCGGTGGGGGAGAGGAAGGCCGGGCCCCTTCCCCTCGGCAAGGGGGACGTTAGGAAGCATCATTCTCACCTGGCAAGGTTCTGTTTCCTCAGCATCTCCTGCTGCCGGGCAAACATCTCTGCTTGGGCCGGTTGGAGGAATCCGTAACCTGCAGCGGGAAGGGAAAGCAGCCGGGAAGTTGGTCCATAAATATAATGGCACTCCTCTTTTGAGCCTCTCTGGAAGTCGTAAGGACTGGTGGAGTTGGGGAAGATTGATTTTGTCATTTGGGAGTTGTAGTTGCTGGGATTTATCGTTCACCTACAATCAAAGAGCATTCTGGACTCCACCAACGATGGAATTGAGCCAAACTTGGCACACAGAACTCATGCCAAGTTTGGTTCAGTTCCAAGGTTACAGAACTTTTCTGTGACCAGAAGAAAATACTGGAAAGGTTTGGTGGGCATTGACCTTGAGTTTGGGAGTTGTAGTTCACCTACATCCAGAGAACACTGTGGGCTCAAACAACGATGGATCTGGACCAAACTTGGCACAGATACTCAATATGCCCAATACTCAATATGCCCAATACAGCCCGAACAACAACCCAAGCTCCGCTGCTGAATAGTTCTCGCAGTCAGGAAGTTCTGACTTCCTGACATGATGTCCATGAAAATAGGAACACTGGTGTAGTTTGGGGAAAATAGACTCTGACATTTGGGAGTTCTCGTTGCTGGGATTTATAGTTCACCTACAATCAAAGGGTTTGGTGGGCATTGACCTCGAGTTTTGGAGTTGGGGTTCACCTACATCCAGAGAACACTGTGGACTCAAACAATGATAGATCTGGGCCACACTTGGCAATATGCCCAAATGGGAACACTAATGGAGTTTGGGGAAAATAGACCTTGACATTTGTGAGTTGTAGTTGCTGGGATTTATAGTTCACCTACAATCAAAGAGCATTTTGAACTCCACCAACGATGGAAGTGAACCAAACTTGGCACACAAAACTCCCATGACCAAGAGAATATACTGGAAGGGTTTGGTGGGCATTGAAGTTGAGTTTGGGAGTTGTAGTTCACCTACATCCACAGAGCACTGTGAACTCCAACAATGATAGATCTGGACCAAACTTGGCACGGATACTCAATGTGTCCAAATGGGAACACTGGTGGAGTTTGGGGGGAAATAGAGCTTGACCTTTGGGAGATGTATTTGCTGGGATTTATAGTTCACCTACAATCAAAGAGCATTCTGAATCTCACCAATGAAAGAATTGAGCCAAATTTCCCACACAGAACCCTCATGCCTTGAAGGGACTCACTGACGTGAGCCTCCCTCCAACTTTGCACACTCTCCCTCGCCCGCACTGACATGTGCTGAGCACGCCTGCTCTCCCCTCCCCATTTGGAGTCTCAGAAACCCTCCTGAGACTCCAAGCCCTCCTCTTGGTTGAGAGACTGGCCAGTCACGATTTGCCGTCTGTTTCCAAAAAGGAAGGGGAGGACAGGCGGAGAGATCTTCAGCCTTCTCCGCCAAAAGGGTTCCCAAGACCATCAGAAATATGTGTTTTCTGATGGTCTTTGGCAACCTCTCTGAAATCCCCTCGCAACCCATCCAGGGGTTGTGATCCCCAGGTTGAGAAACCCTGCCCTATTCAGCCCACTTACCTGGCGTCTGGCACAAAGCCGAAGGCACCCCTAAGAAAGGGGGTCTCAAATGGGGTCCTAATGCAATGTGAGGAGCGTTCTGTGGTGACAGGAGCGGAGGCGGATGGGACATCTCCCTAGAGGGGAAACAAAACAAGGTTACCGAACCTGCAAAACAGAAGAAGAGGCTGAGAAATGCAAAATACAGCCCCAAAAAACAACCCAAGCTCCACTGCTGAATGGACTTCCTGACATGATGTCCATGAAGTGTCTGTGTGTGTTCGGTGTGCGGGAATGGGGACCCGACATTAGCCAGGTAAGTCTAGGGTTAGGGTTGGAAGAGACCTTGTGGGCCATCCAGTCCAACCCTATTCTGCCAAGAAGCAGGAAAATTGCATTTAAAGCTCCCCTGACAGATGGCCATCCAGCTTCTGTTTCAAAGCCTCCAAAGGAGGAGCCTCCACCACACTCCAGGGCAGAGAGTTCCACTGCTGAACAGCTCTCACAGTCAGGAAGTTCTTCCTCATGTTCAGGTGGAATCTCCTTTCTTTCCTCTTGTGTGTTCCGCGTCCTAGTCTCCAGGGCAGCAGAAAACAAGCTCCCTATGTATTGTCGAAGACATCACATCCTCTGCCATAGATGCAGGCAAAACGTCAGGAGAAAATGCTTCTAGAACATGGCCTTACAACCTGAAATACAACCCAAGCTCCTTATGTCTTCCCCTCACATATTTATACATCATGTCTCCTCTCAGCCTTCTCTTCTGCATGCCCAGTTCTTTAAGCCGCTCCTCATAGGGCTTGTTCTCCAGAGCCATCTAACTTAATCTCAGGTAATGCCTCTTCCTTCTCCTTCTGGCCCAAGCAAGAGGACAATAACACGTCACTCAATTGCACTATGTCTCTCCTACCCTCCTGGATGCTGGAAGAGCCCATTGGCTTGACATACCTAACGATTCCAGGAACTATGTTACGTCTCCCTTAAGCATATAAAACACATGTACGGGATTAATGTGGGAGCTAATTATTCTCCCCGCCAACTCCTTTGGAAATGGGAAACCTTTGCAGCATACGAATGGCGGGAGATCTCCCGTCCTGACAATTTAGAGAAGCAGCCAGGCAGAGTTGGATCCCTCGCGGGTTGCCTTCAGAGCACTCTCCGGGGAGCCATTGGGCTTGAAGGCTGGATGAACACCGGGGAAACATTCCCTTCGCCAATAAGACAGCAAAGAGGAAAATAATACTATGGTTTTCTGTGGGCAAGCAGATGGGGGCTACTGGGTGGAAGGGGCTCTGTATCGGAAACTAGAGCTGATGTGGTCCATGAAACGTCTGTATGTGTTCGGTGTGCGGGAATGGGGACCCGACATTAGCCAGGTAAGGCTAGGGTTAGGGTTGGAAGAGACCTCGTAGGCCATCCAGTCCAATCCCATTCTGCCAAGAAGCAGGAAAATTGCATTCAAAGCACCCCTGACAGATGGCCATCCAGCCTCTGCTTCAAAGCCTCCAAAGGAGGAGCCTCCACCACACTCCAGGGCAGAGAGTTCCACTGCTGAACAGCTCTCACACTCAGGAAGTTCGTCCTCATGTCCATGAAATGCCTGTATGTGTTCGGTGTGCGGGAATGGGGACCCGACATTAGCCAGGTAAGGCTAGGGTTAGGGTTGGAAGAGACCTCGGTCATCCAGTCCAACCCCCTGCCAAGAAGCAGGAATATTGCATTCAAAGCACCCCTGACAGATGGCCATCCAGCCTCTATTTAAAAGCCTCCAAAGAAGGAGCCTCCACCACACTCCAGGGCAGAGAGTTCCACTGCTGAACAGCTCTCACAGTCAGGAAGTTCTTCCTAATGTTCAGATGGAATCTCCTTTCTTGTAGTCCATAATCTGACAGTCTAGAAGGTGCCTCAGATTATTAAAGCAGATAACGGAAGTTCTTCCTCATGTCCATGAAACGTCTGTATGTGTTCGGTGTGCGGGAATGGGGACCCGACATTAACCAGGTAAGGTTAAGTTTAGGGTCAGGGTTGGAAGAGACCTCATGGGCCATCCAGTCCAACCCTATTCTGCCAAGAAGCAGGAAAATTGCATTCAAAGCACCCCTGACAGATGGCCATCCAGCCTCTGTTTCAAAGCCTCCAAAGCCCTGGCCTTGTCTTACTCAAATGCCAAATATGCCTGCCCTGTTTGGCATAGGTCTGCCCACGCAAAGCAATGTGAATGTAGCATTGATGAAACATGCAGTTTGCAGAATAATCACAGGATGTCTTAAACCTACACCTGTTGATAAACACTACAAGCTAGCTGGTATTGCCCCCCCCCCCCCCCGATGTGCAATGGGAAGTTGCTGCTAAATGTGAGAGAAATAAGGTTGAACACTGTGAAAGCCACCCACTACATTGCTACCAGCCTCCTCCCAGCAGACTAAAATCAAGGAAAAGCTTTGTGAAACAGGTGAACATAGCATTGAACAAAACATGCAGAATAATCACAGGATGTCTTAAACCTACACCTGTTGATAAACTCTACAAGCTAGCTGGCATTGCCCCCCCCCCCCCCGATATGTGATGGGAAGTTGTTGCTAAACGTGAGAGAAATAAGTTTGAACCCTGTGAAAGCCCCCCACTACATGGCTACCAGTCTCCTTCCAGTAGACTCAAATCAAGGAAAAGCTTTATGAGAACTGCCACTCCTCTTGGCTTCCCCCCAGCAACAGCAAGGGAATCCCTCTGGGCAGCTAAACCAGGAAATCCCAATTGGCTGGCCCCCCACAAGAGAGGGTCTTCTTCCCCCAAGAATGGGCAACTTGGAAGTCCCTGAACAGACTCAGAAGCGGAGTGGGCAGATCAAAAGACAACCTGGCAAAAAGGAATTCCACACCTTGTGTGACTGTGGAACAGAACAGACAACTCCGCATCTGTATGCTTGTCCACTATGCCCTGCCTCATGCACAGAGGAAAAATTGTTGGAGGCTGCAGACAATGCCGTTGCTGTTGCCCGTTTTTGGTCAAAAGATATTTAGCCAACTGCACTCCTTCTATTTTTATCAGTTTTATGCTAATTTATGCAATGCTTTTGATACGAAATAAATAACCCAACTTAAACAGAACGTTGGATGAGCGAAGGTCGGATAAGCGAGACTCTACTGTCATCCTGAACCTGGGGAACACCACACGGTGCAAAACTTTCCGCTGCACAAAACCGTTCAAATAAACACATAAATATGTAATGCTCACAGGCAAAGAGAAAAGGAGGGTTATGCCAAGAGAGTGGGAGAATTTTATTTTGGAGGCGAATCCGCAGCGAAGAGGAAGGCAGAATAATTGAGTGGATTACGCATTTCTCCCCGGAGGAGACCCCCGCTCGCTCCCATCTGTCCCTCGCCCCACTTGTTCACCCCGCCTGGCCTCCTCCCTCGCTTGTCCCCCCGCTGTCCTTTGCTGCCATGCCACGGCCGCCCCCAGCTTTCTTCGGCTCCCCTCCCTCCTCTTCCTCCCCTCTAAACTAATTGCACAGCTCTGGGTGTCTGGAGGAGAGCCATGGATCGATCCGTCGCTGTTGAAATGTTAATGCTAATCGTATAACCGCTCCGCCAGCGCCTCGCACTTCAGTGGCAGCGCCAATTAATCTCAGGTAACGCAGCGCATGACCTTCGGGGCTCAGTGCCGGGGCAGCAGCCAAGCGATGCTTATGTAATTACACCATGAAGTGTGTAATCACCTGCCCTAATCCCCCAGGCCTCACAATTAGCCGGGGCCTCGGTCGCCGGGCTGCCAAGTGCGCGCCGCCACTCCGGACGGCCACAGCCGAGCCAGAGCGGATGAATAACGGACAATTAAAGCGCCGCGGCGGGGGCCGGGAGGGGGCCCCGCTCGATCGTAATTAGCCGTAATCATGGGGAGACGGGGCCTGGCAGGCGCGGCGCGCGTTTTATAAGAAGCAATTTAGGAAATCAAGTGGCGTTTAACCGTTCGGTGGCCAAGCGGGGCACGCTGCCCCTTCCCTGACCTCCCATAAATGGATGTCCTGCTGTCGAACGGGAAAAGGCCAAGGACAAGGGCACCCTTCTTCTCCCAGTCCCACCTCCGTGGACAGCGTGTTCCCTTCCCTTCATCGCATCTCCCTTTGGCAATAGGTCAAGGGTGGCACCACAGACGTTGCAAGGCTGAAACTCCCACTAGCCATGGCCATAGTCAAGGAGTCAGAAGTTGCTTGCAATATCTAAGGAGTCAGCTGAAATCATATTATGGCCCTAAAAGAATATACTTCAGTATAAGCCTAACACCCCCCTCGGCTTATAGTCAAGTGGGGGTCCTGCTGGGACCCTCTCACCAGGACCCTCACGTTTCATGCCTTCCCACCAGGACCCTCACGTCTCTGCACAGCAACCCAGCAGGGTCACTGTGCCGAGAGGAGAGGAGAAGCTGTGCACCGTCCACTCCTCTTGCTGTGCCGAGAGGAGGAGAGGCTGCGCACCGTCCTTTCCTTTCTTTTACGCCTTACTCTTCTCTCGCTGTGCCGAGAGGAGAGGAGAGGCTGCGTGCCTTCCTGTCCTCTCTTATGCCTTCCTCTCACTGTGCCGAGAGGGGAGGAGAGGCTCTGTACTTTCCTGTCCTCTCTCGCGCCTTCTCTTGCTGTGCCAAGAGGGGAGGAGAGGCTGTGCAACTTGCTATGCTTTCTCCCGCGCCTTCCTCTCCACTCGCTGTGCTGAGAGGGTAGGACAGGTTGCGCACCTTCCTTTCCTCTCTCTCACGCCTTACTCTTCTCTCGCTGTGCCTAGAGGAGAGGAGAGGCTGTGTGCCTTCCTGTCCTCTCTCTTGTGCCTTCCTCTCTTCTCGTTGTGCCAAGAACGGAGGAGACTCTGCGCGCCTTCCAGTCCTCTTTCTCATGACTTCCTCTCTTCTTGCTGTGCCAAGAGGGGAGAAGAGGCTCTTTATCTTTCTGTCCTCTCTCGCGTGCCTTTGTCTCCTCTCACTGTGACAAGAGGGAAGGAGAGGCTGCATTTCTTGTGCCTTTTCTCTCGCTGTGCCAAGAGGGAAGGAGAGGCTGCACACCTTCCTGTCCTCTCCCTTGCACTTTCCTCTCTTCTTGCTGTGCTGAGAGGGGAGGAGAGGCTGTGCATCTTCCTGTCCTCTCTCT